AATCTGTTCTTGATAAAGCAATGATGGCTCTTTGTGATTACTGCTTCCCTTTCTGGATTTTCACTTACCATCCCTTTACTAACATGTTCCAGAATTTTGTCAAGAATGAAATCTAGCAGGGGCAGCTAGGTGTTGCAGTGGATAGAGCACCGGCCTGGAGTCAGGAGGACCTGAGTTCAAATGTGGCCTCAGACACATGATACTCAATAGCTGTGTGACCCTGGGCAAGTCACTTAACCCCAACTCCCTCACAAAAAAAAAAAAAAGACTCTCCTCTCTTTCCATCTTTGCCCTTTGTCATCTTTTGGGTGGTTCTCTCCCTGTGATGATGAAAAACTGCCTGTTTGACAAGAAATAAGTCTAATGATCCTCCTGCCTTGTTTCACCATGCTGCCAAGCTCTTGGTATTTCCTTCCATTTCCCTGGCCCTACTTGGGGACCAGGTAGACAGAAGCAGCCATGAGTATACAGGAATTAACTCCAGTTATCTAATGGGATGCAGACTCATTGCACGTGGCCAACATTCTCTAATTTCTTCCCTCAACCTCCTCGGCTCTCTGAAGTTTTTGTCTTGGATCCTTAGGTTCTAACCTAGTTTCTGGCACAGGGTAAGTATTTAGTGTTCATTGATTGATGGAACAATGATTTGGAGCTAGAGGAGACCTTAAAAGCCCCTGAGGCCAACCCCTTCCTTTTGTAAATAAGGAAATGGAGATACAAAGGTCATATCCGTTTTCCAGCCTTCCATAAATCTCTCCTCGGTCCTTCATGCAACTGCTCGAGAACTTAACTCTGTGCCCCCAAAGAGACAAAAGAATGAAAAGGACCCACATGCACAAAAATATGTGGAGCAGCTCTTTTTGTAGTGGCAAAGAACTGGAAAGCAAAAGGATGCCCATGAGTTGGGGAATGACTGAAGAAGTTGTAGCCTAAGAATGAAGAGCAGAATGGTTCCAGAAAAACCTGAACGGATGCAAAGTGAAGTGAGCAGAACCAGGAAAACAATATATACACTAACAACATTGTAAAGACAAACCACCCGAAAAGACTTCAGAAATGATCACTGCAATGAGCAACCATGATTTCAGAATATCCATGACCAAAAGCCTACTATCGGTTTCCTAGGCCTCAGGGTGCAGAGTGAAACACACATGTTTGGGGCACAGCCAATGTCAAGAATTTCTTTTGTCTGACTATACCTGTTTGTCATAAGGGTTTTGTTTTTCTTTTGTTCCAAAATGGGAGAGAATGAGGTAAAAGGGAGAGAGAATAGATTTTTGTTTTTTATAAAAAGTTTTTAATTTAATTTTTACAAAAGAAATTGGCTGCATGCTTCTCTGGAGTCCAAAGACCAGAGTTTGAATCTTAGCCCTGCCATTTACAGGGTCATCTGTTTGACCCAAGGCAGTGTATTCAGCATGGGGAATAAGCATTGCTTCTAGGCTGTTGGTTGACTGGAAGAGGAAGAGAGATGTGAATGAGCCTGTGCACATTCTCAGCTGTGACTAGCTGAAAAGGGGAGGGGTGCAAAGAAGAAGGCCCCCCTCCCCAGATGCCGGGTGGAACCTCTGATGTGAACTAAAGCCAACCTGTGGGAAACAAACTCTGCAGGATGTGTGACCCTCAAGAAACAGAAACTGAAAGACCTATCACTTTCCCTCAGAGGATTCTAGGAAAGAGAAGAAAGCAGTTTCAGGGGTACAGAGTGAGACTTTGAATTAGGAGGAAATGGCAGAGGCACCAGGGAGAAATGAAAGCTACTGAGGGGGCTGCTCTCAGCTCCGTGACTGACCCAGGGCATGAAGCGAAGACAGGGAGCCTCCAAGTGTCCTCCTCCCCCAGTCAGAGCAGGCTCAAATGACCCCCAGAAAGGTCTGGGAGGGGAGAAGGATGTCAGAACTGGGAGATGCCTTAGAACAGGGGATGTCAGAGCTGGGAGGGACCTTAGAACGGGGGATGTCAGAACCAGGAGGGGCCTTGGAACAGGGGATGTCAGAGCTGGGAGGGACCTTAGAACAGGGGATGTCAGAACCAGGAGGGGCCTTAGAGCAGAGGATGTCAGACCTGGGAGGGACTTAGAACAGAGGATGTCAGGGCTGGGAGGGACCTTAGAACAGGGAATGTCAGAACTAGGAGGGGCCTTAGAACCTAGAACCTAGAATGTCAGGACTAGGAGGGATCTTAGAACAGGGAATGTCAGAGCTTGACAGTCTTTATGGAGTGGGTAGAGAACAAGGAAGAAAACCAGGAAGACCTGGTTTTAAATCCCTCCTCAGACATTTACTGGCTGTGTGATCTTGGGCTAGTCATCTAACCTCTTTTGGTCTGTTTCCTCATTTGTAGAATGAGGGAGGCAATGATCCCTTTAACGTCCACCAAGCACAGTTTTTATGAGCTCATCTGTGCAAATCTGTTTGGCAAACCTTAAAAGGTTGCATAAATGTGAGCTGTTGCTATCAAATAAACACATGTAATAGTTGTCCATATTAAGAGAGTGGTAGCTGCCAGGAGTGAGGAGGGACTCATCTCCCTGGTCAAAGTAGGGGAGGTGAAATCCTCCTTACTCCCCTTGGTCCCTTCCTCTGTTATTCAGTAATCTCTCCTCCTTTAAGGTCCATACAATCCGCATCTCCCAGCCAATCTAAATCGTGGCGCCTGTTGCCCACCCTCTCCTTCCTTCCTCTGTACCTGGCTCACAATTTTCCTCTCGTCCTGATTCCTCCCCTCATACTCGAGGACTTTGATACACATTTTAACTCTTCCTCAAACATATAACCGCTCAGCTCCCACAAACCCTCACCGCTCTGTTCCTCATTCTACTTACCTCCCATGAACTCTTCCTCCACCTCCCTCAGCCATACACAAAGATGGTCAAACCCTCCATTTTGCCTTCACCTGCAAACGCACCACCTCCACATTCAAGAATTCTGAAATACCCACATGACCTATTTGCTTTCCAAGTACTCCTCTTCCTCCCCTCACCAAACCCTATTCTTCATCTATACTGTGACCTCTGACCTTCTGGCCCTTCAGTTCTCTCTCCCCTGCATGAAACATTCTCTTTGCTTTCCCCCATTTTGACTCCTTGGTGAACCAATTCAACTTTACCCTGTTGTCCCTTCTTGAGTCCCTAGCCCCCTTATCACAGATTATGCCCAGCCAAGCCTCTGCCTTGGATCGCTCCCATCATCTTCCACTTTTTCTCCTCTGCATGTGCTACTAAACTGGAGAAAACCATGCGTCATTCTGGTTGGGTCTACTACAGATTTATGTTATACAACTTCAACTGGGCCCTCACCACTGCTAGGCACTCCTGCTCCCTTATTGACCTACTATCCCTTTCTTCACAGAGGCTTTTCCAAACCCTATCATCCCTCCTCAAACCTCCTTTGGTTCCTCCTCCCCTCACCCTCTCAGCTGAGGACCTTGAGAACCTTGTATTTTATAGGAAAAAATGAGACCATTCACCAAAAGCCCCCTCTTTGTCCCCTCTTCCTCATCTCCTATCACTCAGGTTTCTTCTGCCACCCTCTCCTCCTTCACCCCTGTCTCCCACGAGGAGGTGGCCCTTCTCCTTACCAAGGCTCACCCTTTCACCGGCACAAGTGATCTCATTCCATCCTATCTACTCTAACAGATTTCTCCCTCTATCATCCCCATTCTATCATTTATCTTCAATGTCCCTCTGTCCAAAACAGAACTCATTATCTTCCTCCCTAAACCCTCCCCCACCTCCTACCCTCTCTATTACTGTTGAGGGAACCACCATCCTCCCACCCTGCAGGCTCCCGACCTGGGAGTCATCCTGGACTGTTCACTGCCTCTCCCTCCCCCATCACTAAGCTGTTGTCAAGACCTGTTGATGTCAGCTTTTCAGCATCTCCCAAATACACCCCCTTCTCTCCTCTGATATTTATACCCCCCTTGTGCAGGCTCTCCTCACCTCACACTGGGACTATTGCAATCGGCTTGCTTCATCTTTTCCTCTCACATTCATCCTCCATTCAGCCACTCAAGTGTTTTTCCTAAAATTTGAGTCTGATCATGTCACCTCCCCCCACTCAGTAATCTCCAGTGGCTCCCTGTCACCCCCAAGGTCAAATACAAAATGCTCTGTGTGGCTTTCAAAGCCCTTCCTAACCTACCTCTTCAGTCTTCTTACACCTTACTCCCTCACCGGTCTCTTAGCCATTACACAAACAAGAGCCTCCATCCCTTGGCTCTGGGCATTTTCTCCAGGCACCCCTCCCCAAGCCTGGAACACTCCCCCTCCTCCGTTCTGACCACAGACCTCCCCAGCTTTCTTTAAGTCCCATCTAAAATCCCTTCTGTAGGAAGGGTTCTTTTTTTTTTAAATTTTATTAATTTATTTTGATTTATCAACCATCACTTCCATATACTTTTGAGTTGAAAATTTTTCTCCCCTTTCCTCCCTACCACCCTCCCCCAAGACAGCACACAATCTGATATAGGCTATACATATACATTCCTATTAAACATATTTTCACATTAGTGAAGTTGTAAGTAAAAATTAAAACCAATAGGAGGAACCATCAGAAAGAGGAAACAAAACTCAACAGAAGGTAAAAATAAGTGATAGCGATTCAACTTCCATAGTTCTTTCTTTGGATGTGGACAGCATTTTCCATCACGGGGCCTCTGGAGGTGTCTTAGATCCTTGTATTGCTGGGAAGGGTTAAGTGTATCAATATTAGTCATTGTATAACATGGCTGTTATTGTGTACGATGTTCTCTTGGTTCTGCTCACTTCGCTCAGCATCAGACCATACAAGTCTTTCCAGGTTTTTCTGAAGTTGGCCTGTTCATCATTTCTCATAGCACAATAGTATTCCATTACATTCACGTACCACAACTTCCACAGCCATTCCCCAATGGATGGGCATCCTCTCAATGTCCAATTCTTTGCCACCACAGAAAGAGCTGCTATGAATATTTCTGTACATGTGGGTCCTTTTCCCATTTGTTTGATCTCTTTGGGATATAGCCCTAGAAGTGCTATTGCTGGGTCAAAGGGTATACACATTTTGGTAGCCCTTTGGGCATAGAGGAAGGGTTCTTCAACCCCTCAGTTCCAGTGCCTTCACTCTGCTAATTATTTCTTACTTATCCTACTTATTTATTTGCACACATCTGTTTGCTTGTTAACTCTTCTGGGAGCTTGTGAGTACCTCAGGGGCAGAAGCTATCTCCTACCTCTTTCTGAATCCCCAGCACTTAGCATAGATACTGGAATATAGTAGGTGCTTAATTAATTTATTGACTAGTGATTGGTCAGACCACATGCAAAATGTTGTGTTCAGTTCAAAGAGCCTCATTTCAGGAAGGACATTGATAAGATGAAGAAAAAAAGAACTGGGAGGGACAGGTACCTGAAGGGCTGTCCAGCAGAAGGATCACATGTTTGGTTAGCCCCAGCGGGCAGAACTAGGAGAAATGGGCAGAAATTGCAGAGTGGTGGACTTTGGTGAGACCCAGAACACTTTCTCAGGATAAGAGCCACTGAAAATGGTCTGGGCTGTGTTGGGGGTGAGGGGGAACGGATGCCCTGTCCCTGGCAGTCTCTAAGCAGTCTCTAGTCTTCAGACGCTCCTCCGATGGGGGCTCCTCCGATGAGCAGTGCCCACTGGCGGCCCTTCCAGCTGCAACCATCTGTGCTTCTCCATCCATCCTCATCATTGAGTCTTGAGAACGAAATCATTGGTCATTTGAGCTTCTTGTTTATTTGTGTGGCTTCTGGATAAACTGGAAATGACGGTATATGGAGAGAGGAAACGTATGGAAGTCATTAGCCAAAGAAGGGGCCCAGGCCAAAAGCAGGGACGGAGTTGAGAAGGGTTTAAATGAATGCACAGATGGCAGATGTCTAACAGGTCGTTAAGGGAGACCAAGAGGTTGGGATGATCTCTAACCTCTGATGTCAATTATATCCTTCCTGAAAAAAAAAAAACCCTGTTGCTCCTCTCCAAGACAGAAACTGAACAGTGCAGTACCAAGACTATGGGATTTTCCATCCATGGCTAGAAGGCTGCACTTCAGAGTTAAGAAGACCTGGGTTCAAATCCTTCCACTTACTAGCTTTGTGACCCAGGAAAGTCACTTGACCTCTCTGGACCTCAGTTTCCCCATCATTAAAGGGTAGATAATCCCACCCAGTGCCTCTACCTCACAGGGCTGCTTTCGGAATAAATGAGAAAATGTGTGCAAATTACTTTGCAAATCCCCCATGGTGGGATTAAGCCCGCCATGATCATTGGTTGTTCAGTCATTTTTCAGCTGTGTCTGACTCTCTGTGACCCCATTTGGGGTTTTCTTGGCAAAGATACTGGGATGGTTTGCCATTTCCTGCTCCAGCTCATTTTACAGATGAGAAAACTGAGGCAAACAGGGTGAAGTGACTTGCCCAGGGTCACACAGCTAGTAAATGTGTGAGGCTGGATTTGAACTCAGGTCTTCTTGACTCCAGATGGAACCCTCTAACTGCTTTGCCACCTAGCTGCCTCTATGCTAATGTCTGTTAGTTATTATCATCCCAGTTCAGCTATTTATTGTACTGTGTGTGAACTCAGGCCAATCAGGTGAAGTCTCTGGACCTCAATTTCCTCTTCAGTAAAACGAGGGGGTGAGCAAGATGAACTCTGAAGTCCTCTCTAATTCTAAATCTTTGGTTGAGATTCCTAAAATGTGGAGGAGTTGACTTCGAAGAGTTGATTTCAGTGAGTGTTACTGGTGTTTCCTGATGCAGCCAGAGAAAGACTGGCTATGAATGAATGAATGAATGAATGAATGAATGAATGAATGAATGAATGAGTGAATGAGTGAATGAATGAATGAATGAGTGAATGAATGATAAAGCATTTATTACACACTTATTATGTCTCAGGCACTGTGCTAAGTGCTGGAACGAAAAGGTAGCAAGGCAGCCCCTGCCCTCAAGTAGCTTACATTCTAATAATGGAAGACAATTCACAGAGGGAGTGGTATCCAGGGAAGAATGTTTGGTCTGGGAAGTCACAGTGATGGATGGTGAATGGAGCCACAGGGCAAATGATTGATTCATTTCTTTCCAGGAATGGTAGTTAATTTGATTTCCTTTTTTGAAAACTACTATTATTTTAAAATTTGTATTGATCTCTTTCATTTTTACATCACTTTCATTTCCAAGAGAGGTAGCATAGAATAGTGGCTATGGAGTTAGCCTTGGAGCCAAGAAGAGCTGGGTTCAAGTCTTACCTCTGATGCATCCTGGCTGTGTGACTCTGGGCAAGTCACGACCTCTCTGTGTTCTAGGCTACTCTTTAACGCTTTGAGTTGCAAAGAAGGCACCAACCTGCATTGATAGAGGGAGTATCCTCATTTGAGAATTCCCTATATCAGTGAAGTAATATCAGTGAAAATCCCAGCTCCAGTTCCTATTCATATTTGGATGTGTCTATGTCCATGTCCATGTCCATGTCCATGTCCATGTCTATGTCTATATCCATATATGTGTGTATGTGTATATTACAAATATATACATATACATACACATGTATCCATATATACAATATATTTCATTTCTATGTGAATATATACTATTACATTAAATGTATAAATAATATATTGTTTAATATGTAATATATCTTCTACTGATATATACATATATTGATATAACCACACATATGTACATGTATGTATGCATTGATAGATACACGTGTTGATGTATACATGTATGTGTGTATACACTTGTGTGCATTTATATTGGCACCCCTCCTTCCCAAATAGCCCTCCCCAGTAACAAAGAATGCAAAAAGAGAAAGAGGTAGAAAAGCACTTTAGCAAAACTGGCCAAGACATCGGCCAGGTCTGACAGGGTGTGCAGTGTTCCATATCCATAGCTTCTCACCTTGGTTAAGGAGGCTCTTTTGATATCCTTGGATTAGAAGTGACTTCCAATCCCTTGGTCTTCTCCATAGACCAGACAGCGGTGACTGTAGCTCTGGCTTTGGGCCATGGCGGTCCATGTGCCCTATGCCACCAGCCAAGGGATGGAGAGGGGAGTCTTCATCTCTACGGCTTCCGCCTTCATGATGCTACTTCACCTGCTTCTCGTAGGGGGCCAGGGGAGGGGAAAGAATGCTGAGTAATACAATGGGAAAAGGAATCGATTCAGAGTCAGGGGACCTGGGCTGAAATCCCAGCTCTGTGTGACTTTGGGCAGATCACGTCACCTCTGGGACTCAGTTTCTCTACCTGTAAAATGAGGCAGGTGAGATGGCCTCTCAGGTCCTTCCACCCATGAGCCCAATCTTGTTGGCCACAGGCCTCGGATGTCTGGGGAGTAATGGAGTCAGGAAAGAGAGGTTCAATTGCAGCTCAGACATTTGTTGGGTGACTTTGGGGGATTCCCCTGACTTCTCTGAGGTTCTTCTGTGACTGAGAAAGTGTTCTAGCAGAGAGTCTGGAGAGGTGTGTGTGTGTGTGTGTTGTGGTAAGGTCAAGTATGTGTTGGAGGAGAGGGCTTCAGAGGTCCCTCCCAGCTCTGGGATTCTGGGATCCCTTCCCTGCCTCCCTCCCAGGGCTGTCTGTGGTCAGGGTCCAGTGAGATAATGGATACAAAGCACTTTGGAAATAAGTGGGAAAATATACACATGGTCCTTTGTGAAGGCTTTGGTCCTTTAGCAAAGAAAATGCTCCAGACCCAGAACCCAGAAAGCTGTCGGACCCTATCAAAGTCACTTCCCCCCTCGGTTTCCTCATTCGCAGAATGGGGCTGTCATACAAATGCTTCTTTCCCCCCAGGGTTTTTGTGAGGAAAGCTCTTTAGGAACCTTAACATGCTTTGGAAGAAGGGGCTTTGGCCTGGGTTTGGACCCTGGTTCTGACACTTACTAGCTGTGTGACTCCCAGGCAAGTGGCCAAGTCGCTGTCTTTCTTGGTTTCCCACCTGCACTGCGTAAACAAGAGTATTGGCAGCTCACTCCTCTGTCAAAGGAGGGAAAGGGCAGCTCCATGTCTAGGACCCTGCTTCCCTCACAGGAAAAGCTCTTGGTCAGCTGTAGAGGTAATAGGGAGCCCTTTGAGTTTCTTGAGCAGGGGAGTGACAGGGTCAGAACAGCACTTTAGGAAAGTAACTCTGCCATATCTGTGTAGGTGATGGGCTAGTGTGGGGAGACTGGCAGCAGGGCATCTCTTAGTAAGCCACTGCAAGCATCCCCACAAAGAGGGACGGGGCCTGAGTGAGGGGAGAAGGGAACAGAGGTGAGGGGTGTCGGGGAGGCAGATGCCATAGGATCTGGTAACTGATGATGAGAAAGAGGAGAGGGAAGAGCCGGAAGAACTCCGGAAGAACTCTGAGGTTGGGGATGTGGGTGCTTAGAGGAAGGGATGGAAGGGATGGTGGTGCTCTCAGCAGAAATGGAAAAACAGGAGAGTTTGGGGTTACTTTTCCCCTCAGGGCCTCAGTTTCCTCATCTGTAGAGTGGGGTAGTCTGACTGGGGGTCTCTGAGGTCCCTCTTAGCTCTAAATCCTACAATCCAATAAAGGGCCATGTTCACGACAGCCTGGGAGGTTGAGAGTGCAAAATTGGCTACTGATGTTTTATAGACGAGGAGAGTAAAAGTCAGAGGTCAAATGACTGGCTCAAGGTCACACAACTAGTAAGTGGCAGGTGTTGTAACCTGGCTCTCCATGCAATCCTGTGCTCCATTGCCTGCACTGAGCTCTCGCTCTGAAGGCCAAGCCTGTCAGTGTGTCAGTAACACCCTCCCTGCCCCCGCACTTTTCCTGCACCCGGCTCCTGTCAGATAAGTTAAGTAGAAGATGTGGGCTCCCAGGACTTGGGAAAGGTTTCTTCCTGGGAGTATGAAGGCCCAGCAAATTAGAGGGTGATGAGCTGATCTGCTGCCTGGGGCCCTGAGAGCCTCCACAGGCGGGATCCCAGCTTATGGTCATTTGTGTTCAGGCTGGACTGGCGCCTCCTCTGTCTTTGAGAGCCAGATGGTTGGAGAAATGAAGAGTCAGGACCCTGGGGCCTTGTGCAAAGCCAGCCGGCGGGCCAGGGAAAGTCGGACAGCCCCTTGGCTATCCCTGCACATTCCTCTCCAGCTCTGGCATGGATCCACCCTCCAGGTCAGCTCGGTCCTCCTTGCTTCAGCTGGGGGAGGCAAAAGGGGGACCACCTGTACCGATGGGCAAATGGTGGCCCTGGGTCACAGAAGAGCTCAGTCTTAATCTTTGTAAATGTGTTAGCAGCTGACGCATCAGCCCTCCCAGGGAACAGAACGCCTCAGCCTAGCTAGAACGCTTCCAGGGTCTCCCCCCTCCAGACCGATCTCCATCCAGCTGCCAAGGGGCTCTTCCCAAAGCACAATTCTAGGGGCAGCTAGGTGGTGCTGTGAATAGAGCTTTGGCCTTCAAGTCAGGAGGACCTGAGTTCACATCCAGCCTCAGACACTTAACACTTACTAGCTGTGTGACTCTGAGCAAGTCATTTAACCCCATTGCCTCACCAAAAAGCAAAATAAAAAAACAAAAACAAAAACAAAAACCAAAGCATAGTTCTGACCATATTCCTCAATTCAGCTGCTCAAGAAACTTCCATGGCTCCCTCTTACCCTTAGGATCAAATACAAGTCCTCTGTTGGGCATTTAGAGCCCTTCCCAGTCTGATTCTTGCACGTCTTTCCAGACTAATCTCATCTCACTACCACATTCTATGTTCTAGCCCAACTATCTTACTTCCTCTTGTCTGCGCACATCTCTCACCTCCGAGTCTTTGTGCAAGCTGTGCCCCCTGCCTGGAACGCACTCTCCCTGCTCATTTCTGCCTCTTAGAACTTCTGGCTTTTTTCTAAGGCTCACCCCAAGTGCCCCCTCTCACATGAGGTCTTTCTTGGGCCCTCTAATCCCCTGGGCTTCTCACTACCCACTGAAATCACTTCATGTTTACTATGTGCATATTTATCTGAGCATATTTTTCTCCTCCTGGTAGAATTCTTGTCTTTGTGCTCCCAGGGCCTAATGCAATACCTGACAATTGATTTGCTTCTTTTTCGTTCTGGACCTATCATTTCAAGGGTGAAAAGAGGTCCCAGACCAATTCAGGCTGTCATCTCTTCCACAACATAACCTTAGACGACTTTACTGAGAGGCTAGGTGACTTTTCCAGAGTCACACAGCTCAGATGTTTCACAGGTGGGACTTTGGCTTTGAGACTGGCTCGCTGCCCATTTCACCACACTGCCATGTTTGCATAGTAGGACCGTGGTGGGCAAGAGAGGCGTGTATCACCTCTTCATTTGATCAGATTCTCCCCTCATTAGTGAATGGTGGAGACAGTATTTCGTAAACTGCAAAGTGCTGAAGGATTGTGAGAGCATAGATTTAGAGGGGGAAGAAAGCCCAGAGGCAATTTTTGTCTAGCCCCCTCAAGTTCCATATCAACCGAGCAAGCCATGAGCATTTACTAAGCACCTACTATGTGCTGGGGATACTCTGCTAAGCTGGGGCTACATAGACAAGGATGAAACGGTCCCAGCCCTCAAGAAGCTTACATTCTAACGGGGGAGCACGTCGACAGAAGAACATGCACAACAGACGCAAAATGAACAGCAGGGAGTCTGGGGAGGGAGTACGCCAGCCAGAACAGGGAGAGATGGGAGCAGGCTTCATGGAGAAAGTGTTGCTCACACTGAGACTTAAAAGAAACCAGGGGTTTGGGGAGGCAGCAGTGAGAAGGGAGTGCATTCCTGTCAGGGGGGACAGCCAGGGAAAAGGTGTGGAGGTGGGAAATGGCTGAACCATGGCATTTGTGAAAGGGAGCTAAGGTCCGGCAAGGAGACCAGAAGTGTAGGAAGGAGATCTCAGGGGCAATAGAAAGGCAGTGGAGTTATGGGTGTGGGGGCGTTGCTTTAGGAAAACCCCTGCAGAGAAGATAGATTAATGTGGTGAAAGACTTGAGGCAGGCGGCCCGAACGGGAGGCTGCTGTAATAGTCCAGGTGAGAGGCAGTGGAGAAAAGATGAGAGATCTAAATATCAAAGATTGGCGACTTTGTGGGCAGCTAGGTGGCGCAGTGGATAGAGCACCGGCCTTGGAGTCAGGAGGACCCGAGTTCAAATTTGGCCTCAGACACCTAACACTTACTAGCTGTGTGACCCTGGGCAAGTCACTCAACCCCACTGCGTAACTAAAAAACAAAAAAGATTGGCAAATGACTGGATCTGGAAGATAAGGATGAGGAGTCCAGGGTAACCTTGGGGGGTGCAAACCTGTAAAATTGAAGAACGTGGAAACTGAGGCACAGATAATCATGATGGTGGTCGTTAGAATTTATAAAGTGCTTGAAGGTTTGCAAAAGGCTTTCATTTTACCCTCACAACAACCCTGGGTGTGTGTGTGTAAGCTATGATTCTCCCCATTTTACAGATGAGGAAACTGATGCCCAGAGAGACCTGGGCAAAGCTGACCTGGCTAGTAAGTGTGGGAGCCAAGATTCAGCCCCAGGTGCTTCGGCTTCAAATCCGGGAACAGAGATGAAAGAAACAAAATTCTGATTACCTGGGGGATCCAGGAAAGGCGTCCCAGAGGGTCTCCAAAGCCAGCTGGTCTAAGCTTTCTACATCAGGAAGCAGAGGCCGGAGGAGCCTCAGGGACCCACCCAGGCTCAAAGCTGGAGGAAGCGTCATAGGAGGGATTTGAACCCCGGGCCGCTGACTGCAGAGCCAGGGCTGTTTCCACCACACCAGCCCCCAGGACTGTCTGGAATCTGGGCTGGGGGCGGGTGGGGTCTCAAGCGCCAGACAGTGGGGAGCTTAGGGGCTGAGAACCCCCAGGGCCTGGCCCGGCCTCCATTTCAGCTGCCTGTGGTTTGGCCAGGGATCTCCGGGCCTGTGGGAAGGATGGGGCTTAGACCTCCTCCAGGCCTGGCCCTGGCTCAGCCGTCTCTTCCCAGTCCTGCTTCAGCCGCAGCAGGGAAATCGGGAGGCTGACGTGAAGAGCTGACCTCACCGGGTAGCTCTCCCTCTTCCTGGGAACCTGGGGTCACCAGCTGCTGCTGCCGGGAAGGAAGTGAGAGGTTCTGCCGTGAAGAAATGGGATCCCTTGAGGATATGGTGTTCCACTGGCCCATACCACGTGGAAGAGGCAGCTCAGCTTAGTGGGACAGAGAAAGAAAGCTGCCCCTGATGGGAGAAGCCCTGCTCCACTGACCCTGGCCAGGTCATCAGCTGTCTCTGAGCCTGACTTTCCTCACCTTTAAATTGGGGCAAATCGTACTTGCCCTGACCCACCTCAGAGAGTTGTGAGGAAAGAACCTGAGAGTGACAAAGCGATGTGGCCCATGTGAACCAAGTGTTATTAGTACAAAGACTAAAGTGAGAGTCCTTGCCCTCAAGGTGATTACATTCTAGCGGGGGGGGGGGGGGGGGGGGGGGGGGGGGGGGGAGAAAGTACATAGGCAGGAGAGAGGTGACCAGGGAAGGGAGTAGCTGGGAAGTTATATGGAGATGAGAGAGAGAGAGAGAGAGAGAGAGAGAGAGAGAGAGAGAGAGAGAGAGAGAGACAGAGACAGAGAGACAGAGACAGAGAGAGAGAAAAGAGAGAGAGAGAGAGAGAGGGAGAGAGAGAGAGAGAGAGAGAGAGAGAGAGAGAGAGAGAGAGAGAGAGAGAGAAGAGAGAGAGAGAAGAGAGAGAGAGAGAGACAGAGACAGAGAGAGAGAGAAGAAAGAGAGAGAGAGAGGAGAGAGGGAGAGAGAAAGAGAGAGAGAGAGAGAGAGAGAGAGAGAGAGAGAGAGAGGAGAGAGAGAGAGAGAGAGAGAGAGAGAGAGAGAGAGAGAGAGAGGAGAGAGATGATGGATAGATAGATAAATTAGATAGAAAGATGGATAGATAGGTGGGTAAATGGATAGATTGATAGATGACTAGATAGAAAGATGGATGGATGGATGCATAGATGAGAGAAAGAGAGAGAAATGTGGACCTAATAGTTAGCATTTCTATATTGCGCTACAAGGCTTGAGAAGCATTTCACACATATCACCTCATTTGAGCCTCACAACAACCTTGGGAGGCAGGTGTTATTATTATACCCATTTTTACAGTTAAAGAAACCGAGGCTGACAGCTGTTAAGCCCAGGGTCACCCAGCTAGTGTCTGGAGCAGAATTCAAACTCAGGTCTTCCTGATCCCAAGTTCTTGGTTCCCTCCATTCCACCACCCATCTGCCCTAAAATACACCTCGATGGAGGTATAGACATTGATACTGATGATATGGAAATGCATATAGAGACGAGATCAAAGGTGCAGAGCAAAGATGCCCTCAGAAGCCATCTAGCCCAGCCCCTTCCTTTTACAGGGGAAGAAACTGAGACCCAGGGCAAGTAAGTGACTTGTCCAAAGTCACAGGTCCAATAAGTGGCAGAGCCAAGATTTGAACTCACTTCCTCTAATACAAGAGCCAGCGCTCTCCCATCCCTGAGACACTGTGAATAAAACTGTCTGCCCCCATAGGGAAGGAGCCCTGGGTTCAAGTCCCTCCTCTGACATGCCGGCTTCATGACCTTGGGCAAGCCTCAGTTTCCTCATCTGTATAATGGAGATTATAACAGCCCCAGGGGTTGTGGTGAGGATCACAGGAGATGAATTTGTGAAGTTCTTAGCACAGAGTAGGTGCTATATGAGCCGGGGGGGGGCACATAGTAGGGGCTACATACAAATGCCTGTGATTGTTATTAGTATTTAACTTTTCAGGGCCCTAGGCCCCAACTCTCTAAGACTAGACGTTGCAGAGAAAATACAGTTCTGTATTGGTAGAGGATGTTTTCTCCCTGGGAAACTCCCGATGTTCATGAGATCACAGACTGGGTCCAAAAAGAGTTATTGGCTGTAAGAGGGATACCTTTAATGGAGCCGGGCACGTGGGCACTGGCTCTGTGGGAGCGCCAGACAGTGCAAAAGATCAGGGAGTTCCTCTGTTCGATATTATGTGTGAGAACGTGTGCATGTATATGTATATATACATATATATATGTGTGTGTGTGCGTATACACACACACACACACACATACACACACACACACACACACACAACACACACACACAGAGTGTCCCAAAAGTCTTAGTGCACTTTAAGCTTCAATAGCTTTAGATAGCTTGAAGCCGCATTGAGACTTTTGGGACACTCTGTGTGTGTGTGTGTGTGTGTGTGTGTGTGTGTGTGTGTGTGTGTGCACGCACACGCATGAGCGTGCTCACCTGCACATATATACATATTAAACCAATGAATCAACAAACCTTATTAAATGACACCATGCTAGGTGCAGGTGTTACACAAAGACACCAATTGTGACTGCCCTGAAGGAACTCACATTTGATTAATCACCAATATGGTGTAGTATGAGGAGTGCTGGGTTTGGAGTCAGAGGTCCTGGATTCAAATCCCAGCTCTGCCATGTATTCTTGGCCAAGTCACCTAACTTCTTGTATCTCAGTTTCCCCATCTGTAAAATGTTGGGCTAGATGACCCCTAAGGTCCCTTCCAACTTCACGTCTATGATTCCAAGTGTTGGGCTGCACTGAGTTATAAGATGTTCAGGCCAGGGATATGGGGAGGGTGATAAACCTACCAGCCTTTGAGAGAAGACTCACTGGAATGGAGGTGAAGCTTGAGGATTAGCTAGGCATCTCGGGGAGATTGATTCTACGCTGTGTTGGGCCCCACAGGAGTGGAATATAGGATTAGCCAATAGCTCTTGCCATGATTCCACAAGGATTCTCTGTGTGACCTCTAGCTAGCCCTTGTGCCCCAGTTTCCCCCTCTGTACAGTAGAGTTGGCCTTGTTGACTTCAAAGGTCCCATCCAGCTCTGACCACCTACGATTCTATGAAATCCAAGATTCTCCTCCAGGAAGAAATGAATGAATTTAGAGTTATCCAGTGGTGATGTTGGCTCAGTTGACTTTTCAGCCCTCTGAGAATTCTGGTGCATGCAAGCCTCACTGGTGTCATTGGTTCTGAACAAAAACATGAAGGGAAAACAGTGTTTCTTTCTGGGAGCCTGTTCTAAGCACCCTCCCCTCAGCCCTGACATCCCCTGTTCTAAGGGCCCTCCCAGCTCTGGCATTCCCTGTTCTACATTCCCTGTTCTATGGTCCCTCCCAGCCCTGACATCCCCTGCTCTAAGGTCCCTCCCAGCCCTGACATTCCCTGTTCTACATTCCCTGTTCTAAGGGCCCTCCCAGCTCTGGCATTCCCTGTTCTACATTCCCTGTTCTATGGTCCTTCCCAGCCCTGACATCCCCTGCTCTGAGGTCCCTCCCAGCCCTGACATTCCCTGTTCTACATTCCCTGTTCTAAGGGCCCTTCCAGCCCTGACATTCCCTGTTCTAAGGGCCCTCTCAGCTCTGGCATTCCCTGTTCTACATTCCCTGTTCTATGGTCCCTCCCAGCCCTGACATCCCCTGCTCTAAGGTCCCTCCCAGCCCTGACATTCCCTGTTCTACATTCCCTGTTCTAAGGGCCCTTCCAGCCCTGACATTCCCTGTTCTACATTCCCTGTTCTAAGGGCCATCCCAGCCCTGACATCCCCTGCTCTAAGGTCCCTCCCAGCCCTGACATTCCCTGTTCTAAGTGCCCTCTGAGCGCCTATAGTCAGAGGTCTCTAGAATCGTGTGCTCTGGGCTGAGCTGGATCACCGATCCTCCACGTACCAGAAGGCTGGCCAGGGGTTAATTGGACAGTTTGTGAGCTAAGGACAGTGTGTGAGCTAAGTGCAAAACCATCGGTCAAGAGAAAAGAATGTGAGGCATTTTTCTAATTCCAATCGGCTCGTTCCCAGCTCCTCCTCAGACAGGCAGGACATCAAAGACACAGGGAGCCGGCTGCTTCTCTTATTCCCTGTTGTCCTGCGCTGCTGCTTCAGCTCCCCGTTTAGCTGGCCTCTCTCTTCCTCCTCCTCTTCAGGGGACCCTGCGGAACGTGGCTCAGCCCGCAAGGAACCAGGACATTCTGGGTTTTGCCTTCTTTATGGCTTCTACCAGAGCTGAAGAGAACCCAAAACCATCGGGATTATTGAGTCCACAGGATGTCAGCTTGCAAAGAAAACCTGGGAATGTCAGAGCTGGGGGATCCTTAGAACAAGGAATGTCAGAGCTGGGGTGTGGGTGGAGAAGGGAGCTTAGAACAGAGAATGTCATGGGATGGGGCGGTGTGCAACCCTTAGAACAGGGAATGTCAGAGGTGGGGGGAGAGCATTAGAGCAGAGAATGTCAGAGCTCAGAGGGGACTTAGAAGGGAGACCCTAGAATATGTGCACTGAAAGGACCTTTGAGATCCCATCCCTTCACCTCAAGGGGGAGACCCTCACGTGGGCTTCCTGGTTTTCCACCCTCCTGGTCACTCTTCTGTTCCCTAATCCGGGCCCAGGGATGGTTTAACTAGAATCAGCTGACTTGATTTCTTGTCATCAAAATCTGTGGCCTGTTACATGAGGCCATGAGGTGTGAGGGTGGAGGGAGCAGGGACAGCATTTCCACTCCCCTGATTCCAGGTGTGAATGTAGCCTCAGCCCTTAGGAAAGGCGGAGCCTAGGCATGGGAGGAGGGAGGGCATCACTGACCCGAGGAATTCTACATGCCTCTAGTCCAGAAGGATGATCCAAAGACATCCTAGCATGGTGGCCCCTTCCCCTTCCCAGATGTTTGATGCCTAAAATCAGAGAATGTCAGAATCAGAAGCAACCTTAGGGACATTATGACATTTGACAGATAAGGAAACTGAGGCACCGAGAGGGGGGCAATGCATTGTCTAAGGCCACACAGGCAGCAGCAGAGCTGCAATAGGAGCCCAGACCATCTGGTCCCCAACCTGAGGCTCTTTTCCACTGACCCAGACTAGACTGAAGCTCCCAGGCTTGTTTGGGGGGCGAAGCCATATTTACACGTGAAACTCAACACAGGACGAGCAGGAAATGATGACCGACACTGAGGACATAATCTAGAAGAGGGGAAAGTGGAGAGAGGCCAGCTGTGGGGTTGTAAGCAGCCCCTGGGCCTGGA